AAGCTCACTCGTCAGCAGCCCGAATGCTCATCCGGCGACTCCTCGTCGCTGCGAGAATTTTCGTCCTCGTCAATGGGGTCATCGTTTTCCATGTGTCTTTCACCTGTAACTTTTATTGGTATTATTTAATACCAGCCGAAGTTCGGTGAAACACTCGAGAACCAAACTCGGGCCGTGTGGGCTGTAGAGAAGCACCGACTGACTGTGCCACGGACAAAAGTGTGCGGGTTTTTCTGACTGGATGTTTTGAGGATTTTTGCACGATACGCGACTGTTATCACCGTGGCGCAGTCGGGAGCGCGCTTTTCTACAGCTGACACGGGTCGGGTTCGATTCCCGGGTGTTCCACCGAACTTTCATTTTTCAATTTTTTTGGAAATAGCACAATGATGGGCGTACAGCTTCGTATTCAAACTTTAAACGTCCCGTTCTCCGCGCTGCTTTTATGCTACAGGGTGCTTGGGGTGCTAAATGATAGCCCTTGAAATCTAGTATTTTTTGGCAATGAAAAAGTAATTGGGAAAATATCTAGGGGCTGAGAAAAGAAATTATTTTCTAAAAGTTGCTAGACTACGCGACTGTAACACGATTGGTTGACGTTCTATTAGATTATTTACGAAGCGGATGGCGTTCTACTAGAGTATTTACGAAGCGGATGGCGTTCTATTAGAGCATTCACCTGTATATGATCGATATTTTTGCCAGTTTGCACTCGTGATCCCATGTGCGAGAATCAGCAAAAAATGTTCCGCTCAAATCGTTCTGAAGATTTGGAAAGATGTAAGTTCTTAGATAATAGTTTTCCCAGAAATGATCTCGACTGACTGGTCCGGGCACTGACCACTCGCGCGAATAACCCAAAATCTTCTGACGCTCTGAGTTTGCGCCGAAGTTTGTCAGGAGTAACCTCATTTGTCGAGTGGTTTGAATCTGGTTTTTGATTCAACTTTTCAACAATGCTAGGGGAAGCCAATTAGTCTTTTTCGTCTTTTTCCCTCTTTTTTCCATCTTTTTCCGCTCTTTTTCCATCTTTTCCGTCTTTTTCCATCTTTTTCCATCTTTTTCCATCTTTTCCAGTTTTTTGCCGCATTATTACGTTTTCAGAGTTAATTACCTTAAAGTGAGTGCTTTTGAGCTCCATTGTTTCAAGATTCGAGCTTATCTTGGCTTTGCTAACAAATGGGTGCTATTTTGATAAATCACCCTTCAACCAGCAGTGATTTTGAGCATAAATTTTAGCTATCAGCTATTACCTATTCATTAGTATTAGTAGCCCATTGCTTGAAATTGCTTATCAGCAGCAATTTAAAGTCTTATATGAAACGAATAAAGTTTTAAATTCTTACAGAAACTTATGAAGCTAATTGAAAAAATGTCCGTAGATTTTAAATATCTAAAAGAAAAAAACTGTAAACTCTTTTGGTTTTTGAGGAAATCATCCTTTGCGCAACATTTATATGCCGCACCCTGTAATTTTATGAAAAGTTTTAAAATCAAGAAAACTTGTGAAACGGAAAGAAAGATTAGAGAGAAAGCTGTAAAATTTTCTATGGAATTTAACCCACTATTACTAGATCCCAGAACCAAGTTTTGTTTTGGAGCTTTGTCACCAATACCTCACCAATACCTCTAAGACACGTAGTAGAAAAAGAGATGGTTATAGGATCGGATGGAAACCGGGCTTTTATCGCGTCGAAGATCTGATCCGATAAAGCTAACGGTCGGACCTATCGAATCGGTCCTGATCCGATCCGATCGAAATACGATCCAATAAAAAGCCGATCGGATCAGATCGAGGCTTGGGAGATGGAATCGGAACGGGGTTCGATCCCATCCGATAAGTCCGATCGATCAGGCTCATCAGATTGGATCGGATCGGAAGGGCCGAGCCCGGCATCCGATAGGTTCGACCGGGCTAATAGGATCGGACTGGAACGGGACCTGTCCGATCCGATAGGTCCGACCGATCGGGCTTATCGGATTGGACCGGAACAGGACTGATCCCATCCGATAGGTTGGTCCGATCCAGATCGGATTAGGCCGGATCGGACAGGACCGACCCGATCCGATAGGTTTGACCGAGCTAATAGGATCGGACCGGGCAGGACCGATCCGATAGGTTGTCGACTCGATCGGGCTAGCCCGATCCGATCTGATTTTGCGTGAAAAAACCATGATGACTGCTTTGTAGACATGGGCGTCAGGCCAGGTCGTCCGAACTGGGCTGAATCGGACGTCTGATTCTAGATCGGACGTCTGATTCCAAATCGAACATCCGATTCTGATCCGGACGTCTGATTCTGAATCGGACGTCTGATTCTGAATCAGACGTCTGATTCTGAATCGGACGTCTGATTCTGAATCGGATGAAATTCCCGAGTCGGACGTGACATATAAGCCAACTTGGGTTAGCTTGGGTTAGCTTGGGTTATCTGCAAGACTAGCACAGGCGAGCCATTAAGCTGCTTAATCTGGTCAACTATTTCAGTCGAAAGTCAACTTAAAAAGCATGTTTATTTTTGATACCCTGTCCCATGGACATCATTGTGTAATTTGCTTTGTTTTTGTTCGTAATAGAAACTTTGTTCGTATTAGAATTTTGGTGGTGTGGTTGTTGGTAAAAACGAGATTTAGCATCTCCTTTGTCGATTACAATATTTCTATTCTCACCATCATCTTCTTTGAGTCGAGCAACACGTCGTTCCACGTCTCGTAGGGCGGTAAGGGTAGTGCTAAAAAGTGCTGTGCCTGGTAGTGCTTTAAATTGTAATTTCTACTGGAAAATTTGTTGCTTTATTGAAATTTTCAATTCAATTCAATTCAACTTTTAAACCCACATCAAAATCCCATTGATAAGTGAAATGAATTTCATGAATTTCCGTCAATCCACAACGTCGTCGATTTCTGAAAGTTTTAAATTGAAAATTGAAAATTAAATTGAAAACTCTAAATGCTTTATTTTTTTTTTTGATCTGTCTTCGCGTTCAGGTGTTCCTATTTGCGCAGATCACAACCTGCTTCCACATTTCTCGATCCCTTGCTATTGTCATCCAGTGTTTCCTATCTTGATTGTTCCTGGTTCGAAGTCTTCGACTTGCTTGTGCTGGTGGTGGTTACACTCTAGCCATCCTTTCTCTGACCGTCTCTGCCACTCTTGTGCTCTACCTCGTTGCTGGTCTTCCGATGGGCCTCTTCTGGTCTCGTGGTAGCCACTCTGTGATCCGTATCGTCCATCTGTCGTCTGTTTTTCTGGCTACGTGGCCGGCCCATCTGAGTCTTTTTCTCTCAATCACTTTCACTGAATCTCTGAGTCCCGAGAGCTGGCGCATATCCGTACTTCTTAGGTCTTGGTCGAGGTCGAGGTCGAGGTCGAGCTGCGTCTTCCTATTGGACCCTTAGGAGGTTCCTTTCAAGGGCTCGATGCGTCGTTCTCAGGGCTCGTTCAGTGGTCTGTGTCGTGGCCCAGGTCTCTGTCAATGCTTTATGCTTTTTGCTTTATGCTAAATACCTTTTTGGATAAATTTTATAGAAGAATTGTATTTAGAGAAATGTTTACTTCAAGATTTGTTCCCGAATCGATCGACTTGTTTGGGAAAGAGAGCGGAGATCGGACGGAGAAAGCTGAAGGGGGAAACTTTCTATCATTTTCTGTGTTTTTTCAATTTTCTAAAGCAATTTCTTTTTCTAAAACGTATCCATTTCCCTTAAACTACCGTAATCTTTGCTTTATTCAATCCTACTTTTTTTGTATCTTTCGATTTGCTTTGTGAAGCCTAACAGAATAAGAAAAAAAATGTAGATACCGTATTTTCTCTAATAGTAGTGCACCCTGAGCGTCGTCTAAATTCCTCGAAATCTCGAGAACCGCTTATCAGAACCTATTGATGTGCGGTCGGAAAATGTAGCTGACGATGAGATCTACTTGGGGATTTGAGAGTTGAGCTTCTGGGAAAGCTTGGAAGCTGTAAAATGACTATCAACTCGGCTACTATTAGGAAAAATATCGGCTCTTGCGTAGTTTACGGATACTTTGAAAGAATTCGAGTATTTTGAAAGAATCCTAGTATTTCGAACGGATCGTCACACTTTGAAGGCCTATAACTTTGTCCGGAGATTAGATTCTTGTTAACTTTTTATATCATTGAATAGAGGACATTTTAGGCTTTCAAATGGTATCAAATAGAGCTTGATTGGATAATCGAGTCCTCGAAATTCCTCGAAATCTCGAGAACCGTTTATCAGAACCTATTGATGTGCGGTCGGAAAATGTAGCTGACGATGAGATCTACTTGGGGATTTGAGAGTTGAGCTTCTGGGAAAACTTTGGAAGCCGTAAATAGTCATCAACTCGGCTCGCTTGGGTCCCACTACTATTAGGGAAAATACCGTATATATCCTATGTCCAAACAAGAAATCCCCTTCCATCTAGACTGATTCTAGATCTACTCTTCTCTTCTTAAAGCTGTCTTAAAGCTCTTAAAGCTTAAAGCACTTAAAGCTTAGAGCTATTAAAGCCTAAAAGCTCTTAAAGCTGTCTTAAAGCTCTTAAAGCTCTTAAAGCTATTAAAGCTTAAAGCCCTTAAAGCTTAAAGCTCTTAAAGCTCTTAAAGCTATTAAAGCTTAAAGCCCTTAAAGCTTAAAGCTCTTAAAGCCTAAAGCTATTAAAGCTTAAAGCTATTAAAGCTATTAAAGCTCTTAAAGCTCTTAAAGCTTAAAGCTATTAAAGCCTAAAGCTATTAAAGCTTAAAGCTCTTAAAGTCTAAAGCTCTTAAAGCTCTTAAAGCTTTTAGCATTTTTATAAACTAAACACAAAATTCTACCTTTAATTAGAGTACATCCTTATCGTTTTCTAAAACGTTTCAACTTTTGAAAAGCTACCTTCCTCTTAATTAAATCCATCTACTTCGCTTTGAAAAATATCTACAGCATTTTCTCTAATAGTATTTTCCCTGAGCTCCTAAATTCCTCGAAATCTCGAGAACCGTTTATCAGAACCTATCGATGTGGGGTCGGAAAATGTAGCTGACGACGAGATCTAGTGAGGGATTAGAGTGTTGAGCTTCTGGGAAAACTTTGAAGCCGTAAATAGTCATCAACTCGGCTCTACTATTCTACTCGGCCCGAACTCTACTCGGCTTGGGTGCACTACTATTAGAGAAAATACGGTAAATTAAATAAAATTAGCCAAGATTACGGTAAAGAGAAAAGGGTAAGAGAAAGGGATAAAAGAGAAACGTTTTACAAAACGATTTACTACAAACATTTTGCGCAATTCTGACAATCGTCTCTTCTGGCAATCCGTCTAATCGAGGAGCCGTTTGAACGATGAAAGTTACAGAGTGAGATCTCGATAAAGAACGATGTAAAACGGCTGAGCGAGCTCTGAAACGCAAGGATAATGAAAAAGTGACAAACTGAGTGCACTGAGTGCACTAGAAAGGGTACGTTTGCAGTTTTAGTCTCTTCTACTCTATGAAAAGCCATTTTTTAGTTCTTTTGGTCTAGTGTTTAGTTCTACTGTTCTTTTGGTGTACTTTGAAAAGGCTAAACACACCGTTTCTGGCCTAAATTTTGGCATCAAACACTTGCTGGAAAGTGTGCCAGAAGGATGGGTTTAGGATGAGCAAAAAAGTATATAACATCTTTGTAAGCATTAGCTATTGGGTTGGGGAGAATGAGTCGGCGCCAAACTTTAAAGGGACTTTTTGCACACATAAAGCCTTCTTTAAACATACGTTTAGTTTCATCAAAAGGATCCACTATTTCTCTACAAAATCACTTTTGAGAGATTCCACAAAGCTTTTCTTTCGTGGAGTTTATGAACTTCCAAACGCAGCTGCTGGTTAAAATGGCAAAGAGTCCGACTCATCATTTGAACAGTTTCTTTCACATAAACCTTCTTTGGTGTTTATATAAAAAAGATAGAGCACATTCAATTACTTAAGTTGCCAAATTTAGGGAAGATCCCACCAATGGTTTTTTTCTAGATCACAGTTTGTAGTTTTTGTGAAAAAATGGCTTTTTCTTGAGCGGAGGCGCTGTTTGAATTTTCTTTTAAATGTCATTTTGTAGAGAATTAGTTAACCATTCTACTCATATCAAACGCATATTATTTGACGAAGTCTGCCAGAAGTTTTAGACATTTTTTTGATTTTCGGCGCCGACTCATTCTCCCCAACCCAATATTTGGCATCCTTGCCTAATCCATTAATCGTTTCAATTCAATTACCCAATCCAAATCAATTAATGGCTTGAGTTAGTTTCAATATAAAGTAGTTAGTTTCAATATAAATTTACCTCACTAACGGGGCTTTTGAAATTTCCCTTCCTCGATCATCTCGGAAGATTCTTGGTGGATTGTAGGGTTTTTCGTTTTGTCGAAATCATCGAGAATGACGGCGATTCGTCTCTTTTCTCTTCTTCTTGTGAGATTTCTCGGCGAAGTTGATAAGCCGCCGAGGAGAGACTCGCTGATTTTCTGAAATTTCTGAAATTTTCTGAATCCAGCTACCATATTTTCTACAGTATTTCTACAGGCAAATCCGGTAAATCAAAATTATCCGGACAATTCTTTTGAAAAAGTAGTTGCTGCACGCTTTTTATCGCACGAACAATTAATCAGCATTCTTAAATCCTCAGATCCCGGATCTGTGCTGATTCAAGGACTTGCTAAACTTATCAGATGTGTAATACAGTTCCAATACGGTTCCAATACGGTTTCAATACGGTTCCTTTTAAGGTTCCAATACGGTTCCAATACGGTTCCTTTTAAGGTTCCAATACGGTTCTAATACAGTTCCAATACGGTTCCAATACGGTTCCAATACGGTTCCAATACGGCTCCAATACGGTTCCAATACGGCTCCAATACGGTTCCTTTTAAGGTTCCAATACGGTTCTAATACAGTTCCAATACGGTTCCTTTTAAGGTTCCAATACGGTTCCAATACGGTTCCTTTTAAGGTTCCAATACGGTTCTAATACAGTTCCAATACGGTTCCTTTTAAGGTTCCAATACGGTTCCAATACGGTTCCTTTTAAGGTTCCAATACGGTTCCAATACGGTTCCTTTTAAGGTTCCAATACGGTTCTAATACAGTTCCAATACGGTTCCAATACGGTTCCAATACGGTTCCAATACGGCTCCAATACGGTTCCAATACGGCTCCAATACGGTTCCTTTTAAGGTTCCAATACGGTTCCTAATACAGTTCCAATACGGTTCCAATACGGTTCCAATACGGTTCCAATACGGCTCCAATACGGTTCCAATACGGCTCCAATACGGTTCCTTTTAAGGTTCCAATACGGTTCTAATACAGTTCCAATACGGTTCCTTTTAAGGTTCCAATACGGTTCCAATACGGTTCCTTTTAAGGTTCCAATACGGTTCCAATACGGTTCCTTTTAAGGTTCCAATACGGTTCTAATACAGTTCCAATACGGTTCCAATACGGTTCCAATACGGTTCCAATACGGCTCCAATACGGTTCCAATACGGCTCCAATACGGTTCCTTTTAAGGTTCCAATACGGTTCTAATACAGTTCCAATACGGTTCCTTTTAAGGTTCCAATACGGTTCCAATACGGTTCCTTTTAAGGTTCCAATACGGTTCCAATACGGTTCCTTTTAAGGTTCCAATACGGTTCCTAATACAGTTCCAATACGGTTCCAATACGGTTCCAATACGGTTCCTTTTAAGGTTCCAATACGGTTCCAATACGGTTCCTTTTAAGGTTCCAATACGGTTCCAATACGGTTCCTTTTAAGGTTCCAATACGGTTCTAATACAGTTCCAATACGGTTCCAATACGGTTCCAATACGGTTCCTTTTAAGGTTCCAATACGGTTCCAATACGGCTCCAATACGGCTCCAATACGGTTCCTTTTAAGGTTCCAATACGGTTCCAATACAGTTCCAATACGGTTCCAATAATATTCTAATGATCTATGCAGTACAGTACACATCTGATTGCGAAGTTTTTAGGTAGATAAATGTAGGCAAGATTATGAAAATGAAGATTATAATGAATAGGAAACACTTAGAAATTTAACCGAGGCTATTTTTGCAATGACAATGCAATGCTGCTTTTAAACGACGCTGCTTTGACCAGTAGCGGACCAGTAGCTCCATATTTTCAGTAAAAAAACCTTCTCAAAATTGTTTTTCAATCAAACACTCTACTAATATTTTAGATTTAAAACTATTTTAGATTTGAAAGAACTCAACTACAGTGCTTTCTAGTTCTAGTTCAACTACAGTTCTAGTTCTAGAATTCCTTTCTTCCACATTCACCTCAACATTGCACCCGTTTCCACTGATGATTGACTCCTCGATAAGCCTGACTGATTGAGTGGCTTTTTCAATTTGATCTTCACTTCGTAATGAGAGAGAAATTTTCTCTTTGCTGGCACAGAGGCTTGAACGTGGGATTTGACGGACTGAAAAGCTACAGAGCTACAGATTTTGTGAAAATATGCTAAAGATTTTGTGATTTCATTTGAAATTAGACTAACTTTTGGGAAACTTTTGACTGGAGGACACTTTTCGGTGACAATGGCGGTTTCAAAGTTTTCGGTGATATTGGCGGTTTTCTCGTTGTCGGTTGTGTCTCTAGAATGAGAAAAACTCAAAGAAATTTAAGAAAAACCTCATTGCAAAGGCTATTTTAAGTTTTTTTCTCTGAAAATTGAAAGATAATTGAAGACGCCGATTCTGAATCTCCGAATCGAATCTCCGAATCGAATCTCCTTTCCTTCAATCACTCTGTCAAGAGCATCTACAAATTATGGGGAAAAGAAAATTCTTTGATCTCTAAGATCTTGGGTGAGCTTTTTAAGAAATCAGGAAACGAGAAAGTTAAAAATTGATTGAAGAATTGATTGAATTGTTGATGTTTGATGAATTTGTTTTATTAAATTAATTAAGGCACTATTAGAATAGCAAGAATTAGCACTGTTCAACTAGAACTGGGTGTAATTTAGTGTGATGGGGGAAAAGAGAGAATGGATTGGTGGTTGAACTATCGAAACCCCATGAAAGCCGGTTGGTTTAACCAGTGGCAGTGGGTTAGAATACAAGGCAGTTAAGGACTCTAGTTCAAGTTCGAGACTCTAGTTCGAGTCCATCGTTCTACTTTTTTCTTTTGCTTTCTTGGATTTGCAAAGTTAATCGTTTTTCATTTCAAATACAAGTTTATTTTAAATTACTTTTCACATGTCATTTAGACCAAAACCAGTTAAGATTCCCTTGTCAATATTGTATTCTGAATTAGAATGGTTACCCGTTTACTAGGATTTCGGTACCATACCTTCGTATCATACGATAAGAAGAATGATAAAGCTTGGTGTAGAGAAGGGATACTAGTACTAACTAGGAGTACCAGTACTAACTAGAGATACTAGTACTAACTAGGATACCAGTATAACTAGGGAAACTAGTACTAACTGGGATACTAGTACTAGCTAGGAATACTAGTACTAGCTAGGAATACTAGTACTAACTAGGATACTAGTACTAACTAGAGGTACTAGTACTAACTAGAGGTACTAGTACTAACTAGGATACTAGTACTAACTAGGATACCAGTATAACTAGGATACTAGTATAACTAGGATACCAGTATTCTAGGATACTAGTATAACTAGGATACCAGTATAAATAGAAGTACCAGTACTAACTAGGATACTAGTACTAGCTAGGAATACTAGTACTAACTAGGATACCAGTATAACTAGGAGTACCAGTATAACTAGGATACCAGTATAACTAGGAATACTAGTACTAACTAGGATACCAGTATAACTAGGATACTAGTACTAACTAGGGAAACTAGTACTAACTAGGATACTAATATTAACTAGGAATACTAACTAGGATGCTAGTACTAACTAAGATACTAGTACTAACTAGGATACCAGTATAACTAAGAGTACCAGTACTAACTAGGGAAGCTAGCACTAACTAGGGAAACTAGTACTAGCTAGGGAAACTAGTACTAACTAGGAATACCAGCATATTTCTGCATTCTATCTTTGATTTGAAAGTCTATCAAATCAATAATGTAATCAATTTGACGCTAATGCGTTAAATTTTGGCTTGATTGACTGTTGATTGATTGAATTGATTGAATTGATTAATTGATTGAATTGATTAATTGATTGAATTGAATTGATTGATTGATTGAATTGATTGAATTGATTAATTGATTGAATTGATTAATTGATTGAATTGAATTGATTGATTGATTGAATTGATTGAATTGATTGAATTGATTAATTGATTAATTGATTGAATTGAATTGATTGATTGATTGATTGAATTGAATTGATTGATTGATTGAATTGATTAAATTGATTGAATTGATTAATTGATTGAATTGATTAATTGATTGAATTGATTAATTGATTGAATTGATTAATTGATTGAATTGATTAATTGATTGAATTGATTAATTGATTGAATTGAATTGATTGATTGATTGATTGAATTGAATTGATTGATTGATTGAATTGATTGAATTGATTAATTGATTGAATTGATTAATTGATTGAATTGATTAATTGATTGAATTGATTAATTGATTGAATTGATTAATTGATTGAATTGATTAATTGATTGAATTGATTAATTGATTGAATTGATTAATTGATTGAATTGATTAATTGATTGAATTGAATTGATTGATTGATTGATTGAATTGAATTGATTGATTGATTGAATTGAATTGATTGATTGATTGAATTGATTGAATTGATTAATTGATTGAATTGATTAATTGATTGAATTGATTAATTGATTGAATTGAATTGATTGATTGATTGATTGAATTGAATTGATTGATTGATTGAATTGATTGAATTGATTAATTGATTGAATTGATTAATTGATTGAATTGATTAATTGATTGAATTGAATTGAATTGATTGATTGAATTGAATTGATTGATTGAATTGATTGACTGTTGAAAAGACTTTCAAATTCTATTCCCTTCAAACGAACCTAGAGCCATTTCTCTCATCAAATCCTTTTGAGTCAATTGGAGAGGCGTTGACGCTAAAAAGGAAGATTTTGTAGTTACAAGAAAAAACGTGAAAAAGAAAAATTGAGCTGAAAAGCTTACGTATTTCAGTAGGATTTTGGGGATTTCCTTTGCAATTCTCTCTTTTCTGATTGTTGGCTGTAATTTGATCTCGATCTTTTCTTTCTTTTCTTTCTTTTCCCTTCGCTTGATCGAGCTTCGAATCGGATTTCGATTTTGTATAAATTTTTGAATTTTTCATTATTTCCTCGAGATTTTCATTTGAATTTTTGGTTGGAATTGGATTTGAAACAAAATTTGAATCAAAATTTGGCTCAAAATTGCGCTCAATTGCATACAAATGAGCGCAATTCGAATTTCCTTTCCTTTGCAGCGCCTCGACGAAAGCTGTGAGCAATTGTAGATTGTCTAGGGTTTTCCCTTTTTGATTCAATCGACTGTCCGAGTGTTTTCTCGTGGTCACCGGTTGACATCGATTCGTTCGATAGGAAAATTGGGTTTTCTCCGTCTCAATCGGTTCTTCTTCAGTCCAAAAATCGACACAAGCTTCTCTATAGAGTGGCCTTTTATGTGAGCCGATGAGGCTACGGTAGTTGTCGAGATTTTCCTTTTCGAGATCTACCGTAACGTTGTCGATCTGGGTTACTGTATCACTACAGACAGGCTCTTTCTGGGCTACTGTAGTTGTGTCATTCTGCACCCGAGTGAAGTCATTTAGGCTTATGGCAGTTGTCACCGTACTCTTGTCGCTCTCTTTCTGGTCTACTGTAGCTTTTAAGACATTATGCGGCCGGCTGACAGTAGTTGGAGCTACAGTAACCTTGACAAGCTCTTTCTGAGCTACTGTAGCTTTTAAGACATTCTCCTGCTGGCTGACAGTAGCTGGAGCTACCGTAACCTTGACAGGCTCTTTCTGGGCTACTATAGTTGTGTCATTCTCCTGCTGGCTTACAGTAGTAGCTACCGTACTCTTGTCGATCTCTTTCTGGGCTACTGTAGCTTTTAAGACATTCTCCTGCTGGCTGACAGTAGTTGGAGCTACAGTAACCTTGACAAGCTCTTTCTGAGCTACTGTAGCTTTTAAGACATTCTCCTGCTGGCTGACAGTAGCTGGAGCTACCGTAACCTTGACAGACTCTTTCTGGGCACGAGGTGCATTCTGGGCTACTGTAGCTTTAAGACATCTCCTGCTGGCTGACAGTAGCTGGAGCTACCGTAACCTTGCAGACTCTTCTGGGCACGTAGTTGTGTCATTCTGGGCTACTGTAGCTTTAAGACATCTCCTGCTGGCTGACAGTAGTTGGAGCTACAGTAACCTTGACAGGCTCTTTCTGGGCTACTGTAGTTGTGTCATTCTGGGCTACTGTAGCTTTTAAGACATTCTCTGGCTGGCTGACAGTAGTTGAAGCCACCGTAACCTTGGCAGGCTCTTTCTGGGCTACTGTAGTTGTGTCATTCTGGGCTACTGTAGCTTTTAAGACATTCTCCGGCTGGCTGACAGTAGTTGGAGCTACCGTAATCTTGCTGACCTCGTTTCCGTTCTGTACTGTAGCTCTTAAGCCATTCTGCACCCGAGTTCCTGTAGCTGGAGCTACAGTAACCTGGTCGATCTCTTTCTGAGCTACTGCAGTTGTTATTCTATTCCTATGAGCTACCGAATCTACCGTAATCTTCTCACGATCTTCCCCAGCTTTCCAGCCATTTCCCATTGTAACTTTTTTATTCTCCACCCGAGCTACCGTAGTCGATAGCTTTTTGATGAAAGGAATCGGAGTGATCGCTCTTTTTTCCGTCCCGCTTACCGTATTCTCGGATTTTTCTCGAATTGGCGTAACTGATCGTTGTCTGGGGATTACGGTAGTCATTTGTGAAATAGAATTCACTCGATTTAACGATGTTTTTATGGATTTTGTCGAATCGAAACTTTTTGATGAGGATGATCGCGGGAATTTCTCGATTTTCTCTTCATTTACCGTATCCGCCATAGAGATTTTCTTTTCTAAGCCTTCCTTATCAGTTACCGTATCATTTCTTGTATCAATAGCTTCGTTTCTGCCATTCCTAGCTGCAGTAGCTCGATTTTCTAAACGTTGATCCAACTTTTCTTCTCGATTCACAATTTTTCTTCTCGATTCATCGATCGTAGCTATCGTAGCTCCATTTTCTAAGCGAATTAAAGGCAATTCACCTTTCGCAGCTCCATTACGTAGCTCCAAACGTTGCCCCATCATTACAGTAGCTTTTGCGGTGACTTTTCCTCGAATTCTTGGCGATGGCGGCGGTTTATTGGGTGTTGTCGGGGTTTTCGGAGAGAAAATCAACTCCTCAAGTTCGTTTTTTTTCACATAAATCAAGATTTATTGGTTTTAAAGCCTTTTTAATCTTCAGCACAGCATTTTCCTTTTCTTTCACGTATTTAATTATGATCGTTCGCATTGTGAAAGCCATTGCCGGCACACGGGATTCATGAAAGTCGTGAACAATTGAGTAAATTGAAAGATTCTTGTTATTTTCTTGTTTCTCGACGCTTTCTCGACTCTCTTCTTTCGTTAAATCCTCAGTGTTCTCGTTTTTCTCTCTTCTCTCGCTTCTCTCTCTTCTCTCGCTTCTCAACAATTCTTGACTCTGATTTCTTAAACTTGACACACTAGGGCTTCTCCTTATCGTCAATCTAACCATCTCGTTTTCTTCCTTTTCTTCCTTTTCTTCTCTTTTCTTAAGCGGATTTTGTGTTAAAGGAATCGTGAAAGTAATCGGATTTTCTTCATCATTTTCCTCATCATTTCCCTCGTCTTCATCATCCGAGAAAATCGTTGAATAGCTGAAAGTTGTTGTGTGAATCGTGCCAATATCCGAATCTTCGATATAAGTGTAAGAGGAACGACGCAGGGGATCCATTTCGATTAATTCTAAAGCTTATTTCTAATTCTAAAGCTTAAAAATAGCTAAAGTATGCTTTTATAAAGACAGAAAAACGAAAATTGTTAAAAAATAGTAAAAAAATAGAAAACAAATAGAAAACAAATAGAAAACAAATAGAAAACAAATAGAAAAACAAGTAGAAAAACGAAAATTTCACTTTGAAATGACAGTTTCACTTCCTTTTTTGCTTAGTTTCATTCTGAAATGACAAAAAGATAAGTTAATTTGGAGAATAGTTGATGAAAGTATTGGGTTGGGGAGAATGAGTCGGCGCCAAACTTTAAAGGGACTTTTTGCACACATAAAGCCTTCTTTAAACATACGTTTGGTTTCATCAAAAGGATCCACTATTTCTCTACAAAATCACTTTTGAGAGATTCCACAAAGCTTTTCTTTCGTGGAGTTTATGAACTTCCAAACGCAGCTGCTGGTTAAAATGGCAAAGAGTCCGACTCATCATTTGAACAGTTTCTTTCACATAAACCTTCTTTGGTGTTTATATAAAAAAGATAGAGCACATTCAATTACTTAAGTTGCCAAATTTGCAGGAAGATCCCACCAATGGTTTTTTCTAGATCACAGTTTGTAGTTTTTGTGAAAAAAATGGCTTTTTCTTGAGCGGAGGCGCTGTTTGAATTTTCTTTTAAATGTCATTTTGTAGAGAATTAGTTAACCATTCTACTCATATCAAACGCATATTATTTGACGAAGTCTGCCAGAAGTTTTAGACATTTTTTTGATTTTCGGCGCCGACTCATTCTCCCCAACCCAATAGCTTTAATTTAATGACCACTATACGTGAAAGCATAGAAGTGAATCATGTAATGAGTCACTTTGAACAGATAATAGAGATTGTTGATGTATGAATTACTTTGTTGTTCAAAGACAATGAGACATTTCTTTCATCATTTTGAATGAAGAGGATAACCGGCTTTTCGAGTTCGCCCATTTTTGAAGCACCATCGATCTGTTGCAAGCGTTCCCCAGTTGAAACCCATTCGACGATCTGCTCCTTAAAAGATCGATCCCATTTCCTTGATAACCGATCCAGCCGGTTTCACAACTCATCATCAGCTTGAATGATTTCCCGTTGTTCGGCGTTCCCCATCGCGAAGCAGGTGGCACGACACACCATTCACAGGCTTTTTCCACCACCGCTGAGAGCACCACTTCCGGCTCAACGCAGTTCACACTGCCTAACACTTTGTGGAATCTCTCAAAAGCCATTTTGTAAAGAAATAGTGGACCATTTTGATGAAACAAAACGTGTATTTAAAGAAGGTTTTATGGGTGCAAAAAGTTTTTTTAAATTTCGGCGCCGACTCATTCTCCCCAACCCAATATTTACAGAGAAGCCTATAATTTTAGGTGTAGATAAAAAAAAAGCAAAAATTGCTCTAGATAAACAAAATGAAACTTTAGAGAGGAAACTTTTCTTTTAAAATCTTGCTTTGAAATGAATGAACAAGAAATTAACAATTAAATCCAAAGCGATCACTATTTTTAGTTCAGCCCCGCTGTCAAGCGTTTAGGAAAGGCGGCCAAGTAGGTTATCGGACGTTTGATACGTGCCGCGCAACTTTGCCTAACTTTTTCTTGGTGTTCGGCTGTTGAATTTTCAGAATGAAACATTCTGAAATGACAAAAAGATAAGTTAATTTGGCGAATAGTTGATGAAACTATTTATAGAGAAGCCCATAATTCTAGAAGATTTAATCAACCCTTACTCCAATGAAAGACAAATTATCGTTTACTCAGCTTTTAAAAAACCGACACAGCTTTTCTCCTCTCCCCTAAAACTTACCCCTTTTTCTTCCTAGTGTAACCTGTCTTTTAGCCAATAAATCTACTTTTATATCTCGAGAGATTCTTTATGAACCCTTACAATATCAATGGATAGATTAGATGTCGTAGCCGATTATGAATTTCAGCCGATTATGAATGAGTGGGTCTAGGAGCGTCCAACCATCAAGTATTTAGTATCATTCAACGCAGAATCATTGAGAATAGGAGCGTCCAAGTGAGTCTAGGAGCATCCAAGTGAGTCTAGGAGCGTCCAAGTGAGTCTAGGAGCATCCAAGTGAGTCTAGGAGCGTCCAAGTGAGTCTAGGAGCGTCCAAGTGAGTCTAGGAGCATCCAAGTGAGTCTAGGAGCGTCCAAGTGAGTCTAGGAGCATCCAACCATCAAGTATTTAGTATCATTCAACGCAGAATCATTAATAATTATGTTAAATCTTTTAAATTAGAAAGATTGGATAAAAAGAAAAAAAATTATGGGACTTCAAAGTTTTCTCTTGAACAAACAGTTTTTTTGCTCTAATTTTTTTTTCTTTTCATCAAATCTTGCTAATTTCAAAAATTTAACATAATTATTAATGATTCTGCGTTGAATGATACTAAATATTTGATGGTTGGACGCTCCTAGACCCACTCATTCATAATCGGCTACGGGGGTCCCGCCGATTTTGAATGAAACGTTGTAGCGTCGGCAATTTTTAACCTAAACTCACAAATTTGGTACCAATCGACGCAGAATTGAATTCGCTACAAGATGATATAATATTGTCCTCATACATTAAAGGGTTGCTCTACTAGAAAGATTTGCCAAAGAATTTCATTCATAATCGGCTACGACATAGATAAAAAATAGAGACAGATTACGATAGAACGAGAAAAGGTTTTAGTTTAGTTTTAGAAACACGTTTTAGAAATGGAGTAATCAAAAAACACGTTTCAGAAATGGAGTAATCAAATTTTGTTCACGAATTCATGTCAAATTAAAAGAAATTTCAAAACAAACAAACTATTGGGTTGGTGAATTGAAAACTGCGGGACTTTGAACTAAAATTTATTCAACATAAAACCATCAATTCATTCCAAATCATTTCCATTATTATTGACGACTTCTGCCCATTTTACAGGCAATTTTCGGACTCTTCGCTTTAGTCTAGACCGTTAATCGGGAATTTAAACCAATATCAATAGTTAGGGGTTCTCAAGGTTGGCTGGGGGATTGTCAAGCTGTAAGATTGTAAAGTTGTAAGATTGTAAAGTTTGCTTAAGTCAAGTCCTTGATCGATTCGAAATCCAAAGAGAGATTCGCTAGATAGGAACAATAGGAAAAAAGTTTTCGATAAAAAGACAGAAGAAGAAAGATTTCAATTTAAAAAGAAGAAAATTGGAGAAGCACAATGTTGAGTGAAAGGAATTTGTCTTTGGCTTTGTCTTTGGCTTTGCCTTTGGCTTTGTCTTTGACTTTGTCTTTGACTTTGTCTTTGACTTTGTCTTTGACTTTGTCTCTGAGCGGAAAATGGAAACAACAGCTTTCTAGGGCAGTGAGGTTTATTTTAAAAATGAAATTAAATGCTAATTGTAAAGAGTGGCTAAATGTAAGGTAGGTGCTTTGTTCAGCTGATGGGGGTTTTCGAGGAGTTCCATCATTTCTCTCTTCCCGGTTCAAGCCCGGGATCAAACGCTGAAAACAGAAAAGACAATGGGAAAAAGAAAAAAGGAAAAAGAAAAAGAAAAAGAAAAGAAAAAGAAAAAAAGGAAAAAGAAAAGAGAAATGGATAATGTGTAAAGTCTTTTGCGTGTTTTTTTCTTTTCTTTTTCTCTTCTTTTCGGGAAATCTAATCTTTTTGATAGTTTGAGGAATCTTTAAGAGATCTTTAAGATATCTTTAAGAATTTCTGAACTCATGCATAGTTGAAACTCAATAGTTTTTTGAGCAAAAAAACTAAAATTCCATAAACTCCTCAAAAAAATCTTATTGCACTATAATTTCCAAAGATTACAAAGCATTTCAACATCTAAATATCAATCTAGATATCCATCTAGATATCCATCTAGATATCCATCTAGGTATCCATCTAGGTATCCATCTAAATATCCATCTAGGTATCCATCTAGGTATCCATCTAGGTATCCATCTAAATATCCATCTAGGTATCCATCTAGATATCCATCTAGATATCCATCTAGATATCCATCTAGGTATCCATCTAGATATCCATCTAGGTATCCATCTAAATCTCCATCTAGGTATCCATCTAGGTATCCATCTAGATATCCATCTAGGTATCCATCTAGGTATCCATCTAGGTATCCATCTAGATATCCATCTAGGTATCCATCTAGGTATCCATCTAAATATCCATCTAGGTATCCATCCAAATATCCATTTAAATATCCATTTAAATCTCCATCTAAATCTCCATCTAAATCTCCATCTAAATATCAATCTAACTATCCATCTAAATCTCCATCTAAATATCCAATCTTGTTATCAAAATCCTTTTCATCTTACTATAGTTGCGTTCATCTTGTCTTCGTCTTACTTTTCCAATTCTTAGACTCCATTCTTGGTCACCGAACTTCTATCGGCAGCGGATGTCCTCCGTGGGCCACTGTAGCGGATGTCCTCCGTGAGGTAAAGGAGAATGGCACTCCTAGGTACCCGGGTACTTTAAAGCCAAGGGAATTGACTCCAGCAGGAATTGGCTCCAAGTTAATCTGAAGAGTCAACTTTGTTAAATGACGCCTGTACTTTCTAGCAACTCTAGTGACTTTCTAGTGACTCCTGTACTTTCTAGCGCATTGATCTAATGATTTTTTTGTGAATCAAAAGAACAATTTATTACAAAGAGACAGAAAAATGGTAATTTTTGACATTTACAATATGATCTCATCACCATTTTGTCGTGGCATTTCTGGAATTTCTTTTTCTATTGATTCAAGAATATTCAGGAAACCCCGTGAATTGTCATTGTCAAGTCGTGTCCGCATCGGGCGTGCTTGCATGTTCTGTGGACGATCAAAGTCTAAAATCTACTACATAAAAGGACAGTGTCTGTCTGTCTGTACAGCCATTTTCTTGGCCATTTCCTTGGCCCTTTCTTGGCCTTTTCTTGGGCATCTTTTGATCAATAAAGCTAAAACTTCTTTAGAAAATCTTTAATATATTGTAATTGTGACATTTCAAGTAACAAAATTAAAGTCAAGTTTGAGTGGCGATCAATGATCCCCACGAAATACCTTTTATAGCTAGTGGGTCTTCTGTAGAGGTGCCTATTGTCTAACCGATTATCTAATGAAGCCCATTAGCTAACCAGGGAGTCGACCCAGGACCGTGTGGTCCGCAGGGATTTCCGGATCCGGATCCAGATCTCTACGCAAGCATATAAAGAACAAAAAATGATATGAACTGTCTCTTGGATGTTGCGTCGTTGTCTTTTCGTTCTTTTTATGTTTGTGTAGAGATCCGGATCCGGATTCGGACATCACTGGTGGGCCGTAGACAAGCGCGCTCTCGACTGCGCCAAACGATAAACGACCTCGCTCCAAAACATTCAGAAAACTCCAAAAAATCCAGACAAACTCGCGGCCTAGATAAATGGCTTAGCCTTTAAAAGCGAAGCTTCTAATTGGGTATTTTTAGGCAGAATCAAAAGGTCCAGCCTTGGGTTTGCACAGGAGAGTTGAGCAAATCCAAGCCCTGTACTTCATCAGTGGTTTAAATTCTCGATTAACGATCTAGACGAGGTTAACGAGTTGGATCTAGAGCTAGATCTAGAACTAGAGCTAGAGCTAGATCTAGAACTAGAGCTAGAGCTAGAGCTAGAGCTAGATCTAGATCGAGAGCTAGAGCTAGATCTAGATCTAGAGCTAGATCTAGATCTAGAGCTAGAGCTAGATCTAGATCTAGAGCTAGAGCTAGATCTAGATCTAGAGCTAGAGCTAGATCTAGCTCTAGATCCAACTCGACTCTTGGACAAGATGAAAGCCTAATGATTCGTATTCTTGAATTGACTTAAAACCTTTCCGAATCACTCACTCGATCCCATATTTCCACCACCGGGCGATCCACTTGGGTCACCGGTCTGGAATCGATCCGGGCTTTGGCCATTGTTGTTGTTGTTATTGTTATTGTTATTGAATCTATCCGAATCTCCATTAGAACTCTCGGATCCTCGGTGAATCTCCGGTCGAATCGGCTCCCCGAATGAGGGCTGATCGCTACCAATATGGCTGTAATTTTACTTGTAAACTTTTCTCATTTATCAGCGCTTTAAATGAACCGTTACGGTTAAATGAGCCGTAACGCTTTAAAACCTGGCCCGTAGACAATCAGAGTTGAGTCAGTTTACTTCTAAAATGAAAAAGAAACTCACAACTCCCTTCCCCGTTGATCAGCGACATTGCAGAGATTCTGTGAGCAACAACAGAAAGAAGCGGGTGATCCTTGGAATTGTGTGGTGATGCAGCGATCTTGTGCGAGCTGGGAAATATATTTAATCACTTAGAATATATTCTCCGATTATAAATTGTCAAATGATCAAATCCGATCAAAATGATCAAGGAAAAAGCCATAAAACAACTCACCAAACACCTCCAAAACGAGCATCCACCTTTCAACACATCCAAGATCACCATCCCTCTCACAGAAATATTATAACAATACTCTTTCGAGTCACCACATTGCACAGTTGATTCGCCGATTGTCGAGCCGGCAATGAATTTCATGCCCTGAAGAGAATTTGTCGGTTTTACCGGATTCCTTACCGCTATGGTCGGCAAGGAATACGCTTTTCACTCACTTCCTTACCGCTATCTTTATAGTATTACTATTATAAAGTTGACTACAGTAAACGGTGGCAAAAACGCAAAAAACCTTTTAGAGTTAGTATTTCAATTTTGAGGCATAAACGCAAAATGTCTAGCCGCCAGTAGGGGTCGAACCTGCGACCAATGCTAGCCCTACCTAGCGTATGCAGACCAATGCTCTAACCGACTGCACTGTTTGCACTGGCAGCATTGTTTCCCGGCAGTAATTTATTCCTTTTAGTTAACAGCTGTGAATGTCATAGTTTCTGAATTTTCTGGTCCAGTGTCAAAATTAACAGCTTTCAGGTAAAAAAAGATAAATGGCCAACGAGTAACGAGACGAAAATTGACAGTTTTTAGTGAAAAGGGATAAATTGTTGCCAAGAAACAGCCGCTAAAGCTCAGTCGGTTAGAGCATTGGCCATAGCTAAAGGTCACAGTTTCGACCCCTGCTCTAGCGGTGGAAAAAAAGAAAACAAAAATTTTTGCCGCCAGCAGGGGTCGAACCTGCGACCTTTGGCTTATTAGACCAATGCTCTAACCGACTGAGCTATGGCGGCGCGTTTGCACGGAGGCAATTTATTGCTTTTAGCTAACAGTTGTCAATCTAGTTTCTGAAGTTTGTGGACGATTGCGAAAATTGACGGCTTTTAGATAAAAGCGATAAATTGCCGCCTTGGAAACGTGCCGCCATAGCTCAGTCGGTTAGAGCATTGGTCTAATAAGCCAAAGGTCGCAGGTTCGACCCCTGCTGGCGGCAAAATCTTTTGCTTTTGCATTCATTTCTTAATTAGATAATTCATTAGATAATACATTGGGCACCTCTACAGGAGACCCACTAGCTAGTGGGTCTCCTGTAGATGCACTAGGTAGTGGGTCTCCTGTAGATGCACTAGGTAGTGGGTCTCCTGTAGATGCACTAGGTAGTGGGTCTCCTGTAGAGGCACTAGCTAATGGGTCTCCTGTAGAGGCACTAGCTAATGGGTCTCCTGTAGAGGCACTAGCTAATGGGTCTCCTGTAGAGGCACTAGCTAATGGGTCTCCTGTAGAGGTACTAGCTAATGGGTCTCCTGTAGAGGTACTAGCTAATGGGTCTCCTGTAGAGGTACTAGCTAATGGGTCTCCTGTAGAGGCACTAGCTAGTGGGTCTCCTTTAGAGGTGCCCAATGTATTATCTAATGAATTAAGAATATGAGAGGTATTTCTTGGGAATCGTTGATCTTTTCATTGAGCTACAGAGTGATTATGATTAATTAGCATCGTGTATAGGATTGCTATTCAACTAGGAAATTGACTACAGTAATCAACGACTACTACGGTAGCTTTTTTAGACAATAGTGCAGTTACAGTAGTCGTAAGAAATGAGGAATTGAAGATTGAAGAGGAAAAACCTTACATTATAACATTCCAAAGCGAAGGCGGCTCCCAAAAGACAGAAAACCAAAGTGAATTGTTTCATCTGAAACCTAAAATGAGGAATCCAGTGCACTAGAATCGGTGCGTTTATAAGCTTTAAGCACAAAGTACGGTTGTAAATAGTATGCAAAAGGTTTTAGAACTTTAAAACTCTTTATTTTTAAGCAATCATCTTTTTGTAAAAGGCTTTTTGCTTAAAAACTTGTAAACGCACTCTTTCTGGTGTAATGAGTTCATTTTTTTTAAAACCCAGATCAGCTCAAAGAAATGAGGAATCCAGTTGCGTTAGAATAGGTGCGCTTACAAGTTTTAAGCACAAAGTACACCTTTTGCAAACAATGATGGCTTAAAAATAAAGAATTTTAAAGTATAAAACCTTTTCACGCTATTTACAACCGTTATTACAACCAAAGCATTTGAAATTTGAAAATTATAAAGCACAAAGCTTAATTAAGAACTTTAAAATTAAGTTTTATATAAAATTCGAATATAAAATTGAAATATAAAATTCAATTTTTATATATTCTATAAGGAAATCGGCGAAAATGATCGAATAATCCAAAAATCCAAAAAAAAACGATCGAAAAATCGAAAATTGATCAATGCCGGCTCGGCGAATCTCTCTCATTTTCCACAAATTTTTCTTTTCTTTCTTTTCTTTCTCATTTTTCCGAATTTCCAAAAAGAACGTCATTTTAAGAAAAGAAAAAAGGAAATTTGGAGTTAATTTGCTGAAAAAGGTGAGTAATGATCGGAAAAAATCGACGTTAAACTCGTTTTTTCAACGATTTTCCCTTGTTATTTTGTGTCAATGAGTAATCGGAAGTGTTTTTTTTTATTTAAGGTTGAAGTATTTTTAGAAACCTACTTTAATAGAGAAGATATTAAGAGATTTAGTATTTTTAAGTTGCTATCACCTTTTAGAGTTGCATATAGATCGTTTCAATGTTTAAACGCAAAAACAAAAAACTTTTGCCGCCAGCAGGGGTCGAACCTGCGACCTTTGGCTTATTAGACCAATGCTCTAACCGGCTGAGCTATGGCGGCACGTTTCCGCGGCAGCAATTTATCCCTTTTATCTTTTAGTTGTCAATGAAAATTTTCTGGACGAGTGCGAAAATTGACGGCTTTTAGTTAAAAGGGATAAATTGCTCCCAGGAAAAAGTGCCGCCATAGCTCAGTCGGTTAGAGCATTGGTCTAATAAGCCAAAGGTCGCAGGTTCGACCCCTGCTGGCGGCAAAAGTTTTTGTTTTCTTTTTTTTCACCCCTACAGCAGAGGTCGATCCTGCGATCATTAGCTATTAGACCAATGCTCTAACCAACCGAGCTATAGCAACACTTTTCGTTGGCAACAATTTATCCCTTTTAACTAAAAACTGTCAATTTTCGTCTCGTTCACAGCACAGACTTTTTTCGTTTATTTTAAATGCAAATGTTTATTCTTTTCAAATAGTTAAATGCAAATTTAATCTCGAAAAACCAGTTTCTTTTTTGAGCACCAAAATTGTGTGATTTTTTTGTTGGGATGAAAGGGGCTTTAGATCTCGATTTCTCCTCCAGTCGACTCGCGGCGATTCGTCAGCTCACCGCCTTTTGCAACTAAAATTACGAAATTGAAACTTTAAAGGGTTTAAAGGGGTTTAAAGGCCTTAAAACGCCTTAAAACGCCCGTTAAAAACGCCTTAAAACGCCTTAAAAACGCCTTAAAACTTGAAATCGAAAGTATTCTAAAGTTGGTTTAAAGAGGGTGTGGAATTTGCAGAAAAATACTAACAATTTAAAGCCAAAGAGTTTTCCCCGGGGATTGGGGCATAGTGACGTTCAAGCGAACGAAGTCGGCTCAGTCGCTTACTGCTCTTTCGCCCTTACTAGGAAACTGTTTTAACTCGGCATCGAGTTGGGAAATGGGAACTATCTCAAAAATGCCCTCTCAAAATTTTACCAGAATTTTACGAGAATTTTGAGAGGGCATTTTTGAGATAGTTCCCATTTCCCAACTCGATGCCGAGTTAAAACAGTTTCCTAGTAAGGGCGAAAGAGCAATAAGCGATTCTAAAGTATGATTGAAAGTATTCTAAAGTTGTTTTGAGTGTAATTTTTAAAAAGCAAATGGTTGGCTAGAGTTTGCAATCTCTAAAAGATCGCCAATGGTACTGTTTTACTGTTGGTACTCTTTTACGCAAATGGTACTGTTGGGCTTGGCTTTACACTACTAATATCTAAATTTACAGTAACCTGCGCTAATAGAATCAGTTGAATACTTTTAATACTGTATTGAGGCAAGAGACTGAATTTTATAGGATTTTTAAGTCTATAATAGGCTTTCCAATCCATAATAGGCTTTCCTTTTCGTTTCTTTTTGTACTTCCGTCTTATACTTCTGTACTTGTTCATACGGAAATAGGAAAAGGAACGAAAAGACTTCCAGTGATGAAAATCCACCGTAGCCCAAATGGCAAAACAATTTGCCGCCAGCAGGGGTCGAACCTGCGACCTTGGGCTATCTAAACGAGTATTAGACCCACGCTCTAACCGACTGAGCTATGGCGGCACGGTGGCAAGGGGGCAAAATCGCAGGGAAAAGGGGGCTGGGTTGATTTTTGATAAGCGGAATCAACTGAATGACACGAAAACTCGTAAAGAAATGGGGAAAACCAAGAGCTTCTTCAATTTCAGGAAAACCAGAAACCAGGAATTTTTAATTCCTTTAACTCACCCGACGAGAATTTCCCAGATCCACCAGTTTTCGGGCGTTGAGTCGTGTAGCGAACGTCGATTCGCTCAAACGTCTCCTCATCTATAATCTAGTCTTATATTATTTATACTATTTATACTATCTATGATTATACTATTTACCATCCGGGAAACCCGCCAAACCGCGGGTTTTTCTGGATTTTTTTGGGAAGAACGGCTTTGGAAATGCATTATCATTTTGTCGCCTTGGCGCAGTAGCGCGCCGGTCTATCGCCCATACGATCCCCCGCAAACGACTCCAATTTTGGTTCCAAAATCCAAAAAAATCCAAAAGCACGTTGCACAACTACATTGAATTCTCTATTCAACGGCGCACAATTCATTGTAAACGGTCCTCTAGGAGCTGAGGAGTACCGCGCACAGACAGCCGGACAAACAGACGGACAAACAGACGGACAGACGAACGGACAGGCAGACGGACAGACAGACGGAGACAAAAATGGACAGACAGACGGAGACAGAGGTGGACAGACAGACGGACAGACAGACGGACAGATAGACGGACAGACAGACGGACAGACAGACGGACAGACAGACGGACAGACAGACGGACGGACAGACGGACAGACAGACGGACAGACAGACGGATGGACAGACGGACAGACAGACGGACGGACAGACGGACAGACGGACGGACAGACGGACAGACAGACGGACAGACAGACGGACAGACAGACGGACAGACAGACGGACAGACAGACGGAGACAGAGGTGGACAGACAGACGTCTTAGCCCCTTTATAGTTCGTAGATACATTACCTGTCTGGGAAATCTTACAGTAACTTTTAGTATAGCCGTTCAATATTAAAGAGTCTTTTTTCTTAATTGTTAAAATGTCCGTTACCGCCAGCATTATCATTTCCTCCTCTCGATCCATGTCGATCTCCACGAGTCATCGGCTCTTGTGTCGGCGAATCAATTCCCATTTTAAAGGCTTTTTCTACGTCTTCTCGACTGTGTGATGGTCGGCTTAAACAAGAGATTAACATAATGATCTTCTAAGTAACATAACCATCATTTAGTTTAGTAAAAAAAGGAGTTCAAACGGTCTATAAGTTACCTATACTTATAAGTTATACTATAAGTTACCGTTGCTGTGATCCACGTGAATCCGAGAATCCATTCGAGTCTTGGTTATTGTTGTTTCTAGATTTTCGAAATGTTTATTTTCAACTTTAACCCACCCAAATCCACCCTGATTGTCCTGATTGTTGTTCCAGTTGTTGTTATTGTTGTTGTTATTGTTGTTTGTGCTAAATTTTCGTCAGAATTTATCGATTCTTTGCGCTTACTGCATTCAAATCAATCAAATCAATCAAATCAATCAAATCGATTCACCCAAATTCACCCAAATTCACCCAAATTCACTCAAATTCATTCAAATTCAGCCTTTTCTTAAAACCAACTTGAAATTCTGTCCAGAGTACTCGCCAACATTGCAACGATCTGTTGAACAACAGCACAACGAGACAGGGATTCCTTGGAAACTCGTGCGAATGCATGTATCTTGAGCCAACTGGAAGATTCAATAGCTCAATAGCTCTATAACTCTATAGCTTTATAGTTCTATAGTTCTATAGTTCTATAGCTCTATAGCTCTATAGTTCTATAACTCTATAACTCTATAGCTCTATAGTTCTATAGCTCTATAGTTCTATAGCTCGATAGCTCTATAGCTCTATAGCTCTATAGTTTTATAGCTCTATAGCTCTATAGCTCTATAGCTCTATAGCTCTATAGTTCTATAGTTCTATAGCTCTATAGTTCTATAGCTCTATAGCTCTATAGCTCTATATCTTCTCTATAGCTCTATATCTTCTCTTTAGCTCTATATCTGCTATATAGCGAGTCGATTAAATAGGCTAAAGTGGTTCAAAAACTGGTTAGAGCCAAAGGCGCCTGGCGCCAAAGCTTTTGCACCTTCCATTAACAATGGAACACCTACTCAACAATGGAACACTGTAACTCTAAAAGCTTATAGCAACTTAAAAATACGAATCTCTTAATATCTTTTACCGTAAATACTGTAATAGTACCCCAGCCCCATAATGACGGTGCGGAGTGTCACGTAGTCTAGCTTTGAGCGAGCTTTTCTCGACACTGGTTTGGGCTACAATGCTCGTTTTGGTATCAAACAATAGCCCTGAATTTCAGCTATTTTTTGATACCAAAGCGCGCATTGTAGCATAAACCAGTGTCGAGAAAAACGCGTTCAAAGCTAGACTACGCGACACTCCGCACCGTACTTTAAAAAAATGCGTCTTTAGTATCAAAAAATAGCCCTGAATTTCAGCTATTTTTTGATACCAAAGACGCATTTTTTGAAAGTACGGGCGCTTTGAAAAACAATGAAATACTAAAAAACTTTTGCGACTACGCGACTGTACGAGGGCGGTGGGGTACTATCACAGTATTTACGGTAGATTTTGTTATCGGTAAACTTTCGAATGCTCACCATGCATCTCCACTTCGAACATCCGGCTTTCATCACATCGATCATCACCACCGCTGACGCTGACATATTGTAGCAATAGTCTCCCGAGCCCGAGCATTCCTCAGTCGATTGACCCACCGATCCGCCGCTTATAAATTTTAGACCCTGAACTTTAGACCCTGAAGTGGATTGGGCAACTTGTTTAGGATCAAGATAGTGCAAAGCCACGAGGTAATGTTTGACCCTAGGGCCTGAAAGCCAGCCCAAGACAGAGCCAGACCAAGGCAAGACAGAGCCAGACCAAGGCAAGACAGAGCCAGACCAGCGCAAGACAGAACCAGACCAAGGTCAAAGTTCAAACCAAGTCCAGGTTTTGCCTCTGATGGACTCAGCCTATAGAGTGACCTTTTCTGTGAGCCGATGAGGTAGTTGTTTTTCGACCTTTTCAGTGTCTAGATCTACCGTAACCTCTTTCTGGGTTACTGTAGTTGTTAAGTCATTCTGGCTTACAATAGTTGGACACCGTAATAGCTAGATAAAGACTGGTGGCTCTGATTGCAAGCCAAGTAAGTAGGCTCATTGTGGAAGCTTGTGGGAAGCTATGGAGAAGCTATGGGGAAGCTATGGGGAAGCTATGGGGAAGCTATGGGGAAGCTATGGGGAAGCTTGTGGGAAGCTTGTGTCTCATTTTTGGACTGAAGAAGATCCAAGTGAGTCTGAGAACTGGCTGAACCAAACAAGTCAAGCCAGAAACCTGATGTGACTCTAATTGCAAATTAAAAGGTAAGTAGAGCCTGGCTCTGACTTGGCCTGGAAAAGCTGGAAAAGCTGGAAAATCTTGGAAAATCTTTGTTCAGGTCAGGCCTGGCTTGGTTTGGGTAACTTTTCAAGGTCAGATCAGTACTCAAATCAAGCTAAACTTTGAAGTTCTTGTTTAGGCATCTAATGGGCGGCTTTTCTTGTAACTAGTTGCAGCATTCACTTGTCAAACTCACATTATAACACGTCAATCCGGTGACAACTGTCGAGAAAGCGAATAACAGAATGAAACGGAGCATTTCCTGAAAAAAAACAAATGGGAAAAGAAATGGGAGAACAAATGGGAATTAGAATTTAGAAACGATGCTTATAAAACTTAAAAGAAGATGCTTATAAATTGCTCATTATGAGAAAATGAGGTCTGTTTGGAGTTCGTATTTGGTTGGGCAAGAGCTTAAATATTAAAGATCTAGTCTACGGTGATGAGCTTTACAAACGAGTCAACTTCTACATCTTAGCAAACAGTATTTGTTTTTGAAAGTGGCCCAAAGTTTAGGATTATATAAAAGAGTGTCTGTCCGTCGTCCGTCCAGCTTTGAGCCAAAATAACTGTAATTTTTTTCAATAGTTATGCCATTTAAAATAAACAAATCAAGGTTAAGTGTCAATACGGAGGGTTGAACCCGGGTTGTTTGAGCCGTAGACAAGCGCGCTTCAGACTGCGCCACGGCGACTACGAGAAGCTGCAAATTTCCCTTAAACGGAAACTGCTCGAGAAGAAAGACGACCAGCTACTGGACTTGAATCAGAGGGAGACTTGGGTTCTAGCCTGGTTGTAGTTTCTAGGTTCTAGCCTGGCTCTAGGTTCTAGGTCCTGGCCGGGTTCTAGTTTCTAGGTCCTGGCCTGGTTCTAGGTTCTAAGTTCTAGCCTGGTTCTAGGTTCTAGCCTGGTTCTAGTTCCTAGGCCTGGTTCTAGTTCCTAGGTCCTGGCCTGGTTCTAGGTTCTAAGTTCTAGGTTCTAGGTCCTGGCCGGGTTCTAGGTTCTAGGTTCTAGCCTGGTTCTAGTTCCTGGGTCCTGGCCTGGTTCTAGGTTCTAGCCTGGTCCTAGGTCCTAAGTTCTAGGTTCCTAGGTTCTCAGCCTGGTTCTAGGTTCTAGGTTCTAGCCTGGTTCTAGGTTCTAGCCTGGTTCTAGTTCCTAGGCCTGGTTCCCAGTTCCTAGGTCCTGGCCTGGTTCTAGGTTCCAGCCTGGTTCTAGTTTCTAGGTTCTAGCCTGGTTCTAGTTCCTAGGTCCTGGCCTGGTTCCTAGGTTCCCAGCCTGGTTCTAGTTCTAGTTCTAGCCTGGTCCCTAGTTCCTAGGTCCTGGCCTGGTTCCCAGGGGTTCTAGCCTGGTTCTAGTTTCTAGGTTCTAGCCTGGTTCTAGTTCCTAGGTCCTGGCCTGGTTCTAGGTTCTAGCCTGGTTCTAGTTTCTAGGTCCTGGCCGGGGTTCTAGGTTCTCAGCCTGGTTCTAGGTTCTAGGTTCCAGCCTGGTTCAGTTCCAGGTCCTGGCCTGGTTCTAGGTTCTAGCCTGGTTCTAGTTTCTAGGTCCTGGCCGGGGTTCTAGGTTCCTAGCCGGGTTCTAGTTTCTAGGTCTAGCCTGGTTCTAGTTCCTAGGTCCTGGCCTGGTTCTAGGTCCAGCCTGGTTCAGTTTCCTGGGTCCTGGCCGGGTTCTAGGTTCTAGCCCGGTTCCAGGTTCCTAGGTTCTAGCCTGGTTCTAGTTCCCAGGTCCCGGCCTGGTTCTAGGTTCAGACTGTTCTAGGTTCTAAGTTCTAGGTCCTAGGTTCTAGCCTGGTTCTAGTTTCTAGGTCCCGGCCGGGTTCTAGGTTCTAGGTTCTAGCCTGTTCTAGGTTCTAGCCTGGTTCTAGTTCCTAGGTCCTGGCCTGGTTCTAGGTTCTAGCCTGGCTCTAGTTTCTAGGTCCTGGCCGGGTTCTAGGTTCTAGGTTCTAGCCTGGTTCTAGGTTCTAAGTTCTAGGTTCTAAGTTCTAGGTTCTAGCCTAACTCACCATTCGGCCACCATTGCAAACTCTGAGCTTGCAAAAGACCGGGTTCTAGTGTCGCGGTTTGAATTTTGAAACTCTTTAGGTGAGTTTACAAAACTTTGAGCACTTATAACTTTTGACAGAGTGCTCCAAAGGAGAAACGGGAAGCAGATTCGGAATCAGCGTTGTATTCTTCGTCAAATGGTCTATAGCTTTGACAAGCACATTAAGTTTTTCCCTTGTTAACACGATACAAAACAAGTATAGAGAGAGAAAGAGATCGAACTTTGTAAAAAATGATAAAATAAAGCTTTTAGTTAGAGTTGGAGTTAGAAAATTCATTGGAAACGGTCAATGTTATGCTCGAATAGTGTTATTTGAAATCTTTTCAGAGAAAAAGAAGGGAAAAGGGTAACAGCCGGTCGATTGGGGAAAAGGGGAAAGCAATTTACTCCCCTTGATGATCACAGGACTTTTCGATGACAACTGGTCTCTAGTTATATTGATTTTGAGTTTTGTGGAATGAATTTGAGAGATTTTACTTTGTTTATATGAAAAGTGATAGAGGGATGAGTCATCCAGTTCAAGCAATTATAGCGATCAGTCATCGAAACGAATTTTGCTCATTTCAGCTATTGAATGAGCTCTCCATTCAGTAATTGATGACTAATGAATTGTGATCGGTTTTACACAACAAAACTTTTTATATTGTAGTTATTTACAGGTTTTGTACTACACACAAAGTCTCCTAACTTCTATAGTTTGATTTAGTCCATCGGTATGAGCTCGGGAAATGTAGCCGAGATTCAGAGCTTGTTTCGTGGCTTCTCAGAGACTTCGTGACTTCTCAAAGATTGTTTTGTGGCTTCTCAAAGACTTTGTGACTTCTCAAAGACTTTGTGACTTCTCAAAGACTTCGTGACTTCTCGGAGACTGTTTCGTGGCTTCTCAGAGGCTTCGTGGCTTCTCGGAGACTGTTTCGTGGCTTCTCAGAGGCTTCGTGGCTTCTCGGAGACTGTTTCGTGGCTTCTCAGAGGCTTCGTGGCTTCTCGGAGACTGTTTCGTGGCTTCTCAGAGGCTTCGTGGCTTCTCGGAGACTGTTTCGTGGCTTCTCAGAGGCTTCGTGGCTTCTCGGAGACTGTTTCGTGGCTTCTCAGAGGCTTCGTGGCTTCTCGGAGACTGTTTCGTGGCTTCTCAGAGGCTTCGTGGCTTCTCGGAGACTGTTTCGTGGCTTCTCAGAGGCTTCGTGGCTTCTCGGAGACTGTTTCGTGGCTTCTCAGAGGCTTCGTGGCTTCTCAAAGACTTCGTGACTTCTCGGAGACTGTTTCTGTGGCTTCTCAGAGGCTTCGTGACTTCTCGGAGACTTCAGAAATGAATTGCGATCCTTGGATCCAATAAACGATTCAATTAGTCCAATAAGCGTCCATTCTATAAATCTTAATCTTAAATCTAAATCCTATAAAGGTTAGCTATGGAATTTCTTCCACAAGAGATGGCTTGTCCAATAGAGTATTTCTCATTTGATTCTCAATTTTGATGGCTTTAAAGCCATCAAAATATTAAAATGTGCGTGTAGAACGTAAAGATGATTTTATTAAAAAAACTGTCCTTACGATTCAATTATTGACTCGAGTTTTCTACACAGCTTTCTGTAATTTCAACAAATAATTCGTAAAGTTTTATGAAAGCTGGAAACTTCTAAAGTATTAGAATCAGGAAATAAGTAGTTTCAAAAAAACTTAAAATTCAATTCGAAATTCGAATCACTTTCAACTTGAAAGTTTCAAGTTATTTTATGGCAAGACGGGCTAGAAAAGCTTCTTTAAAAGCTCTTTAAAAGCTTTAAAAGAAAGTCCAAAGTCAAGGTTGCCAAATGGGAATTGCAATAAAAGGGAAAAAGAGTTACTCAAAAACAGAGAAGAGAAAAAAGAAGAGAAGACGAGACCGGATTTGAGAGTTATTTGAAGAGGAGAGCTTGTATCTACCCTATATAGAGATCTCTTTTCTTTCCCTTTTCCTCTCTATTCAATTCTAGTCCCCTTTCTCTTGTACATTCAATGAAATGACTATGACTGTGACTGAAAGAGGATCGGTGCTTCATCGTTGCCAATGGTCATTCCATCGACAGTCTGCATTCTTTTTTAATTAGGCATTAATTCCTACAGTGTTATTCGGTTTTTCCTTTCTTCTTCTCTTCCTTTCTTCCTTTCTTCCTCTCTTCCTTTCTTCCTTTCTTCCACCCTTGTCTTTCCTTCTTTCTCTTGGCAAGTTAAGGTACTGGATACCTCAGTGGTTAGAGCCTGGAAAGTAAAAGGTCTAGAGTTCAATCTCTTCTCCTGAAATCTACTTTTTCTTGCTAATTCCTTCACTTCTTTATTACGGACCTTACGCTTACGGTTTGAATAAGTTGAACTGATCATTTTGATTTATATAACCAGCGGAGAAACCCGAATAACGGCGGGTTTTTCTGGATGTCTTGGGGATGGACGGGGTTCGATCTCCCGACTCGGATTGTGCTTTTAAAAATCCAAAAGCACGTTGCACAACTACATATAATTCCCTATGTAACGGCGCAAAAATCATTGCAATTGATCCTCTAGAGGCTGAGGAGTAGCGCGCACAGACAGACAGACTGAGAGACAAATGGACGGACAGACGGACAGATAGACGGAGAGACAGAAGGAGAGACAAACGGAGAGACAAACGGAGAGACAAACGAACGGACAGACGGACAGATAGACGGACAGATAGACGGAGGAGACAGACGGAGAGACAAACGGAGAGACAAACGGAGAGGCAAACGAACGGACAGACGGACAGATAGACGGACAGACAGACGGACGGAAGACATACGGACGGACAGACGGACGGACAGACAGACAGACGAACAGACAGAGAGACGGACAGACAGAGAGACGAACAGAGAGACGAACAGAGAGACGGACAGACAGACAGACGGACAGACAAACGGACAGACAAATGGACAGACGGACAGACATCTTAGTTCCTTTATATATAGTAGATCTTGAGAATGTTCTTTCTTAAGCTTTTTATTTATTAAATCTTGAGATTATTAGTTCATTTCTTAACTAATTTTCAGATGAAAGAAATCTTTTTTGATATTCCTACTCGCTTGGTCGATCGATAGCTACAAAAACTGCGATTTCGACAAAGATGATTGTGGTTTTGAGTTTGAGGAACCGTGGTTTTATTACGGTAATTTGCGAGAAATCTATTCAATGGACTGTTTAGGCTTTTATTGCTAAAAGAATAAAAGAATTGCT